AATGAGTAAGGGATCATTAAGGTCGAAATATGCCAGCACTGGTGTATTGGTCAGTGCCGTCTTGAGCTCGTCAAACGCCCTGCACCGATCCGCCTGCCACGTGAATTCCGCACTGTCTCTTAACAGCGTCCAGGATCTGGCCGTACACCCTCAAGTGACAGAATATGTCCCATGTATTTCGCATCTGGTACGCACAGGCGGAGTTTACTTCTATCCAAACGAAGATTCGTTTCTGTGCACCCCCGGAAGAATGCCTCGAGATTCGTCAGATGATCCTCAGATGACTCGCCATGGATAAGTATATCATCCGCAATAATCTCGATGCCCTCGAAATCCTCCAGAGCCCGCATCTGTCTCGACTGATAAATCTCTGGTGAAATGCTAAGACCCTGTGGCATTCGTAGATACTTACATCTACCCATCGGTGTCCAGAAGGTGGTCAGGTCGGTTGAGTCTTCTTCTAGCTCACATTGGAAAAAACCATCTGACGCATCAGCCACCGAGAAGTATTTCGCGTTCGTCAAGCGTGGAAGCATGTCGGAAAGAACCGGTAATGATAGTGGGACCGTCTGGTGGCCTTGTTCAAATGAGAAGGGTCCAGGGTCACCCTGAGTTCCTTCCCTATCTGGCTGACTACGAGAAGTTGCATGATCCACTCGGTTGGTCCGTGCACTAACGTCATTATGCCCTGCTTTTCGAGTTGCTTGATTCTTCCAATGATCTGTGGTTTCAGCGCTGCTGGGGTCCGTCGTGGCGGGCATTGAGCCGGTACGTCGTCTTCTCTCAGGTGGATCTTCACTTTGCCCGGGAGACAACCGTCTCCCTTGAAGATGTCATTGTTTTCGCTGAGTAGCTCGCTCAGTCTATTCTCCTGCTCGGCGGGTGTCACTCGATTGACGAATTCAACGCTTTCGCCGATGTTGATACATCCCAGAGCCATCGAAGCTCTCGCGCTGAGCAACGGGCTCTCCGGGAGGTCCACGTTCAGAAACGTCAATTAAGCCGACCTCGAATGGTTCATAAGAGTGGTGACTACCTGACCCATCGAATCCGAATACTCCCCCTTATACATACGCAGTCTCATAGTCGACATCTCCATGGCCGCTATCGCATTCTGTTTCCGGAGTTTCCGGTGTGTATCTAGACAACAAGGAATTCCTCCTCCTTTGGTCAGCTCGCCATAGGGATAGTGTTGAGCGGCATTCGTTACAGCGAAAACTCGGTTCAACGAACCAGTCTCGTCGGTCCCTTCGTGTCCGTAGTAACGAGCTTTCACTGTATCGTGTTGGTGGATGTAGAAAATCAAAACAAATCAGAACGGAGACTTTGATAAATTCCGAGCTCGTTTAGTTAAAAGTTCGGATCAGACTCCTCCGATCTCTTCGCGCCTGTAGCGCGCTTCGACACCGTTCGATTCCTCCTGGCCCTATGCGCCGCGTGAAAATCACACTCAAGGCAGCTTGACATTAAAACAGCCTTTCTTCACATACATGACACAACCTCAAGGCCTCGCGGAAGGAACCAATCGAGTTTGCAAATTGCATAAAAGTCTCTATGGCCTCCGAGAAGCCCCTCGTTCGTTCAATACGAAACTTTGCCAAGTGCTCAAAAGCTTCAGCCTACTCCAGAGCCAGACAGATCCCTGTGTCTACTACAATCATGAGGATGGCGACATCCTGATACTGGCAATATACGTGGATGATGCCTTGATAATCTCCTCGGATAGAAGGAAGCTGGAGACTTCCATATCAAAGGTGGCCAACGTCTTCAATATCACATCTCCGGAGCTAGATACCTTTCTGGGCATCAAAATCTCCCTCGATAAGAATCTTAACGTATCAATCAATCAATCAAAAGAAATATATCCAGATTATTCTGCGGCGTTTCCAAATGAATTACTGTATAGAACTCTCGATACCTCCAGACAGCTCAATCCACACGATCGACCCTGAAGAAGAACCTAAATAGATACTTGTTACATACCGCTGGGGTTTGCGTGGGTTGACAACACTTAAGACAACTAAAACTCCGCTGGAGATCGCTCTCCCGGGATACCGTATCTCGCAGGGCCTTCCGGACATGCTAGTCCGCTGAAGGCAACTTCGTATGTGTCTCCGCGCACGTCAGTCTCCGTTGGAGGACTGCCGTCGGGGAGAGGGGGAAGCCCTGCGAGGGCAACGGAGACCGGAGAGACTCTCATTCATTGGTCCGACGTGGACGCTACCTATGTTCTCACGATTCGTGACAATACGTCCTTATCGAGAGATATTATCGGTTCCCTCATGTACCTGGCAATATGCACGAGACCCGACATAGCATTTGCTGTCCCTTTTCTGTCCCGATTCCTTGGACGGTACACAGAACAACACTTGAACGCGGCCCTAAAAATCTTGCGGTATTTGCAGGGCTCGCGAGATCTCTCAATGATTTGCGCCAGCAAAGATTTCCCATCTCCCCCAAACGCGCTCGAGATCGTCACAAACGCCGATTCCGCTGCCTCTAAGGACACGCGACGGTCAGTCAGTGGCACAGTGACCAACCTCAACGGGGCTCAAGGGGCGACATAAGTTCATAAGAGAAACAAGAAATTAGTCTTTGGGTGTCGGACTGTACACCTCGTTGTTGTAAGACTTTATTGATGACAACATATCATGCGTAGCTATCATGTGTTAAGCTTTCCTGATCTTCTTTGAACAAACGTCTGTTGGCCAGCTCTGCGTCTCTGAGGTAATCTGAAGGGAAAGCCGACAGAAAACTCTTCCTCCACTCGGACCACTCAACATTCGGCCCTATGGCGGCTAGCGCTGAGTTGTACCACACTAGAGCGACCCCCGTCAAGTATTCACGCATGATCATGACAACCTCGAACGAATCACGGCCTTTCACGAAGTGTTCAAACTGAACGAGCCACAGCTCCGGCGTGAATTTGTCAGACGTTCCGCGGAATACGGGAGGTTTCGCCTTAACTCGCTCGAGCGAACCTGCTGCGACAATCTCTTTGACTAAGGGCTTCGCGAATTCCTGTACTACGTCCGGAACTGTATCTTCGTTGGACACGGTGGAGGGTCCTGCAGAATTCTTAGTAGATCTCGAAGTCTGTGCCACGTCACCTGAGCCTTTAGAACAGCCCCCTCCCTGAGGGATGCCATTCAGGATTCTTAGTATTTCGGTGGACGGGACATTCACACGAAGTTCCCCTGCAGCAATCATATCCTCCGTTGTCTTGTTCGGGAGCTTACTCATGACAAGAGTACTGAGCTCCATTCCGGGTGATTTTTCCAGAGTTGTCCACAATTCGTCACCATCCTGCTTGAGAGCGGACTTTACGGCAAGCTTTGGGTGCCCCGATTCGTCGGCCCGGACCCTGACTGTGATCCAAACCATGATTTCCTTATGTCGACTGCGCCAGAAATTAGTCTTTGGGTGTCGGACTGTACACCTCGTTGTTGTAAGACTTTATTGATGACAACATATCATGAGTAGCTTTATATACGCCTGCTCCCTCTCTGCCGCTCCCTTACTAAACATACCAAAATAATCAGATCAATTTTTATTTCGCTCCATCGGATCAGCAGATAGCTGATATCCTGACCGAACCTCTTCCACGTCCGGTCTTCGAGAAACTCCTGAATCTTGCTGGACTGAAGAGAAATCATGTTCGCTAAGATTCTAATCGGTCTATCAATTCTCATTCACATAAATTGACAATCGCGATTCACTTATGATAATTGCCCAATAAATTGCATGAACAAAAACCAAACGTGAGAGAATTGAGAAACGAACCGAATTCGAAGCGTCATGTATTCCGTCTCCTGTCGTATGTCGCAGTCTCGCCTCTCCGTACGTGGTCTGTTTGAGAGACAACCTTCCACCAATCGGGGGAGAGGAAATCTGGAAAGATTTCAAAACCGCCCACCCTATCCCTACCCCCCTGTTCCCAGAAAGTCCCCGAGGGCAGACCCAGCTGAAAATCTCATTAGCTGCCAAATCTCAATTACCCCTGCTTCTTCTCCTTGGACTATTCGCTCTCCTCATACGAAGTTGTCTGAAACCCGAGGAACCATACATACCCCTCGATCCCGAGCCTGAAAATCACCACTACTGATAATTCGACTAACAGGAAATCAAAAATAATAGATACGATGAACGAAAAGACCCACGACCTGGGATATCGCAGCTCCAAACGAGAAATGGTCCCCATCATTAGGAAATACGTCGAAGAAGCTCAGAGCATGCCAGACGCCATTTATAGAGTCAACGACATGTGGGAAAAGACAAATATGCCCATTAGAACAATATCAAGCACAAGCTCTAAGGGAAATTCGGGACAACGAAAACGGAATTGCGCAGCTGCAGAATACCATCAACGAAGTGAAAGATAAAATTCGTGAACACGAACAGACGTTACAACGAATTATATAACAAGGTCTGCCTCCAGCTACGGTCAGCCGAATGCTCAGGGATCACGAACAGCTCTATATGAGACTGACCCAGGACAAATCAAAGGAGATCAGCCTCCAACAAGATAGGAGAGCCATCAGAAAATTCTATTACGGAACCATACACACACAGGAAAACGGAACAACAGAACATGACCAAACTGGCGAATAATGTATCCATCAAGGCGATTCATATCACATGATACACGCATCATCACTCGCAACGGATCCCGAGGTGAAATGCTTTCCTTGCAGCCACGCGAACGCGAGAGCCATCCCCCAAACCTTCCTATTTTTCTTTCTTTTCCAACCTGAAATCAATTCATAGAAGTACATATAATAGTATGCTCGATCATAGAAAATAGATAAATGGAACCCATAAACTGAATATGAAGAAAATAACCAAAATCAGAAATCGATAAAATGAAAGAAATGAAGAAACCTAATAGAGAGCGAAACCCCGGTGATACTTTTTCCCGGATCCTGCACATGCCAATGCGAGAGTGCGATCAAAAATTCGTGGTTATCAATACACACCGCGGGCTATTCAAGTTCCTGAAAATGTCGAACGGCCTCAGATCGCCTGTGTATCGCCCTGCTTCTAACGGTCAGATCGAGCGATACGTGCAGACAATGGAGAATTCACTGAAGAAACTCGGTGAGGAGAGAGATGACCTGCAGCAAAATCTGTCCCGTTTCCTGCTCAGACAGAGAATGCGCGTGGGACCTACTGGCCACACCCCCGCATCCAGAATGCTAGGCCGAGAAATCCGATCTAATAAGCCGGATTTGCAGAGGGAGCCGGGAAGGAATCGGACTTACTCGGAAAATCCGCTTCCCAAAACCAGAAAGGTTCGCTGACGAAGAAGTTGTCATGGTCCGAGACTACAGGAGTCCCAAACAACGATGGGTTGTAGGAAAGGTCGTTCGCGCATGTGGACTACAGTTGCGAATCGTTCGAATCAACGGTATGTTCTGGAAAAGACACGTCGATCAGCTGCGAAGATGCAAGCTTGACTACGAGGAGGCTACAGAGAGCGAAACCCCGGTGATACTTTTTCCCGGACCTTCCCGTCAAGCTCATAACACCGCTCCCGAGATCAGCAGCACTATCCAAGGGGGAAACGAGTCCGAGGTCGACCACTCGGATGACGATCTCTTCGACGCCAATGTAGCTGAGGAGACCATCAAGCCTCCAAGTGTCAACGTTCAAGTCGGGGAGGCAACCGCGGTTGAACCGCGCCGATCCGCGAGAACGACGCGACGAAAGGAGAGGCACCATCGCGGCTTGGACATTGAATACCATATTGTGATAATCCTGTAAATAATAGAAGTCTCGGAGGATTCAAAATGCAAGGGGAAGTTGTTAGAGTTTCAAATACGCCCGCCTTCACAAGCCGACGATTCGAGGAATTGAAAATAAACAGCCAGCTTAAGGCAGTCGTGATCTGCCGGTGAATGACTCCGTGCGCAATCCATAATAAGTACTACTACAACTACTAGGCGCTACGAACTGCAAATACATACTAACAATTAGTATTCTCAACATGCAGACCGACTCCTCGTTATCACTATCAGAGCGGCTGTTGAGCATGGAATATGTTAGATAGCGATAACTCCGAGCGATCATGTTGATCGGCAAGATTTCTCTCGGAGGACTCTCGTGAGATCAAAGGAAAGCCGCAGGTGCTGAGAGACCCGAGATCTCTGAGCCGATTGGGAGATCCTCAAATGGAGGATACTCTGATCAACCGCAAAAACAAAGTGATCCCATCTGAGTCGGCATCGAGATCAAGATTAGACTCCGAGGCGCCATGAGTGCACGGCGATGCATGCCGAAGCAGCTAGATGTCTACGCAGCTGGGGATTCGACATAGGCACCGGCATAAATGGAAGACGCGGGTGGTACCGGGTGATTTGTGCGCGGATTGATTTGAGAGCATGATCGACTTGAGAGCCAAATCGATCTGAGCCCTTCTGAGCTACAAGAAGATCGTGTATGAGATGACCCAGTCAGGTTTCACACTAGGTGTTGACCTGGTCTGCTCCCGACTCCTGGAAACTCTGCCCGCGTCATGGGAGCCACTCAGGCAAGCTTGGAGTGCCCGAAGGAACGAGGACAGACAACTGGACACTTTGACGGCTTGCGTCCAGGCTGAGGAGTGAGACGCGGTGCAAATGACAATCAAGCGACCGCTAGGTTCTCCCGACTCAACATAAACCGCAACGCCCCTCGACGAAACTACCAACGAAGTTTCTCGCGACGTAGAACGACGTCTTCACAATCATCAGAAGTCGTGTGTTACAATTGCAACCGGAGAGACCACATGCAGGCCCAGTGCAGAGCTCCGCGCCGAAACAACAACAACAGAACTCGGAATCGCAACAACAACAAATTAGCCTCAACGACTGAATCAGCCGCAAGCCAACTTCTCTGAAGCCCTCTGTGGTGCCACTGTTTGGCTCTACGTGGGTTCAAGGAAAAGACTGAATTTTCCAAGTTCTGGAAACCCTCGAAGGAACCGCCGAGGCCGCTTGAACTTGTAGCTGCTTCGTTGGACGAAGCCGCGTACCGACTGGCTGCACGACGCCTCGCCGCTGCCTACCTCTAGCCCGGCTCGACGTGCATGTCGCCTCCAAACATACATCAAGCCACTCCGGCCCCCCTCGGGGCATTTATTTCGACAACATATTATTCGTATCTCTGCTTAAGTACGCTCATGCGAAGCTATGCGCGAAACTCCCGGCCGAATTCTCGAATAACCTTCCGTCGGCTGCTGCTAATGAATGACACTCCCGCACGGCGGTGCACGCCCGCTAATTCTTCGATATTCGAGAATTCTCGAGATTCGCTTCCCGTTACATTTGACCGGATTCTCGGACGGCGGAAACTAATTTCTGAAACTTTACCTAACTCTATAGCGCGAGATGTGCAGTGGGACATATGAGCCGAAATGTCGGGTCTAGAATCGAGTCATTGGATGAACTCGCCGATTTTCCAACGGATTTGGAGAGCGTTCGAGAGCCTCCCCATTCCTCAATTTCGAGCCGAGTTAGAAACCTCTTCGTTCCACGGGGTCATTCCTACCAAGAACCACCTCGGACTCCGAACAATCGTGATGTCCAGCTCCAACCGCAGCCCGCACGGCCTTTTCGTGAACTCTGTCACCCACGCGCGTGAAATCCGGAACTTACGTTATGACGAACTTCGCCGCGCCTGCCGTCAGGTATGGGATACAATGAGCTTTTTGGAGAGACGTCCCTACTGTGCGGCCGCCGTAACCGCCCGCCGACGCGGTACTCGGGATCCTCCACCGATCGCAGTTTCCGAAGCGATCCTAGATCGCGTACGCCGCATTGCACAGATGCAACGCCTAGACGCTGCCGCACTGGACTTCGCCGATCCGCGTCGCGAACTCCTCCTGCAGCCCATGGCCGCTTCCCCTTCGTCGGCCTCCCAGCCGCCACTCGTTAGCCTTCAGCCTTCCGGATACCGCTCCTGTCGTCGCGGCCTAACCGAGAAGCCGATCGTCGTCCGTTCGCTCAGCCCACCGCCGACTCCCCGACCATTAAACCGCCAGCTGTCCCCGCCGCCGTCGAGATTCCTTGCGTCGCTCAGCCCGCCGTCGAGCTTCCTTGCGTCGCTCAGTCTCTTCCCGCCGCTCTCGAAAACCTCCGCGTCGACGTCGGAACGCAAACCGACGCCCATGATCTTGGGCTGGGACGAAGCCGCCATCTCTCGCCGTTTGTTTGATGATATCTTCCGAATCTATTTCCGATACAAAATGATACGTATTCCTCGCGGCTCTGCTGATCGTTTTGGTTAAGTTAAAGAATAAATTCTCTATTTGAGAAACCTGTTAATTGTTTCCTTATGCTTCCTCTCAGTACTTCTCTAGTGCGCTCTATACCTCGAGTGGGTATAACCAATGGATCGGTCTCTGGAAGACCTGGCCCGTAGCCGTTCTGACGAGGCAGGATCGCTGCCGCCGATCCGTTCTTTCCCCGCCGGAAAGACTGAGCACGCGACAGAGAGGCCACCGTGCTTTTGAAGGGCTCGGATCCTGTAACAGGCAAACGTCCCCGACCTGGATACTACGCGCAGCGGCTGGCGACCTTATGTGTGCCGTTCTAAGGTACTGAAGGTACTCTTCCGAAAACCGCTTCTGGAAAGTCCGAATCACTGATTGCTGGTGTTTCCAGCGTCGTGAGAAAACGATCGAGTTCGCCGCTTCACTCGAATCCGGACTGAATTTCATTTCTGGTAGGGTCGGCTTCGCTCTATGCCCGTAAAGTGAATCTGCCGGCGTCAACGCGCTGATTTCATCCGGATCAAGTTGCACCGCTGTGAGGGGTCGTTGATTCACAAGGGATTCGATTTCGAAAAGAACCGTCTCTAACTCCCTGAATCGTAATGCGCCTCTACCGAGTATTTTCCTTAGCGGACGCTTCACCGTTTGCACCATACGTTCCCACCACGCGCCGTGGGTGGGAGCGTGGAGTGTGATTAATTCCCAGATGATCTCTGCATTAACTAGATGTTGTTGGACTGCCGGACTCCTGATATGGTCATAGATAATCCTCAGCTCGATTGCCGCTCGTACGAACGACAACCCATTGTCCGGAATGATGCGGGATACTCCGCCGAATCTGGCTAAGAATCTCTTCAATGAGAGGAGAAACTCGTATGCGGACATATTATCTGGGACCAACTCCAAATGGATGGCTCTCGAAGCCGGGCCAACGCACGGGATGACGTAGCTCTTTCGAAGGCTGTTGTCTTCCTGTTTGTACGAGATCGGCCCTGCGTAGTCCACTGCACATACCGTGAACGGAGCAGCCGTTTCCAATCTGAAGCTTGGAATCGGAGGGACGGGTTCTATTGCGGCTTCCGCTCGAAACAGCATGCAGACTTTGCAGTCTTTCAACACGCTGCTCGCTGCTCGTCGCGCCGACTAGATATAGAATTTTTTGCGCAGAATGCTCAGCGTCGCCGCGACTCCACCGACATGGAAGCATTTCTTTTCGTGGTAGAATCTAATGAGGAGTTGGACCGCTGGATCTTCTCCTGGCAGCACCTGAGGGAATTTCTCTTCGTAACTCAACTCCCCGGAGCGCTCCAGCCTGGATCGACATCGTAGAACGCCCCGTCTATGAATGGAGCTAGCTTGTAGAGTTTGCTACTCTTCCCGATATCTTTGCATCCCGACGTTACTTCTTCACCGCAGTGAGCTGTCTGGACGTTGAGCGAAATTTCCCCGACGCGTTGAGCGCTTCAACCGTACTGACTGGATCAGAGAGAGCCACTTTCAGAGATCAGAGACCGCCGACTCGACGACCATCTGAGGATTCTCGAAATGCTGTTCACCAGAGTGCTCCAAGATGATAATCGTGAGCCAATAGCCAAGGAATCCGGTTGCTGCCGCGAGCTCGTGAGGAGCGCTGTCGTCTTTCTCTCCTTCTCAAGCTCGTTCTCGAAGTGATCGTTCAAGGAGTGCGTCTCCATCGGACGCCCCGGTGACTTCAACCACTGAGGGCCTGAACGCCATATCGAGCCGAACTCCGCGTCCGCTATATTCACTCCACGACCCAAGAGATCAGCTGGATTATCCGCTGATTTGACATAGAACCACTCCGTTGGGTCTGATAGGCTCTGAATTTCCCGGATTCTGTTCTTTACGAATTCTTTCCATCGATCAGGGGAATCCTTGATCCAATGCAAGGTGGGCGAGTTGTCGCACCAATAGCATGTGGACTCGAAATAATAATTGAGATACCGCTTTATTTTATTCCCTTTGCACGCCGCAAGTACTGCTCCGATGAGTTCTAGCTTGTGTATCGAATAGCTCGTCTTGATCGGCACCACTCTCGCCTTCGACGCGACAAACGAGATTCTGGCGCTACCATCGACCGAGATTTCCCTCACGTAATCAACACACCCGAGAGCAGACAAACTCGAATCGCAGAAGACATGCAGGTCCTTTTTCGTGACGTCACGAGATGTTGTGTTGATGTTCCTCGGCAGACGGAATTCTCGCGCGCTCTCGAACGCTTTCTTAATCTCAAGATAGTGCTCTAAGTTCGTGGCCGTGAGCTCCTCGTCCCAATCTACCTTCTGCTTCCAGAGGGTCTGCAGGAGCGACTTCGGCCTGATTGAGATTGGTGAAATAAAACCCAAGGGGTCGAAAATCTGTGCTGTGCTCTTCAGACGTGAACGTTTAGAAGGCCTGCTGGACTCGAGGGTCTCGATCGCTGACGAGAGCGAAACTGCTAATAGGAGCCTGCGGGTTCTTGCTTATGCCCTGGGGCCAGAAATATCTGAGGAACGTTCTATGATCTGGATGGATCCGGTATTGCAAGAATGCTTTCTCTATGTCACAAGTGACGGCGATTTCGTCTTGGCGGAATCTCAACAGAACTTTGATCACGTCCGGCAATAGATTCGCTCCGCCGTGCAGAACATCGTTCAACGCTGCCTCGTCCTCGCGCCGCGCGCCTGCGTCTTTTATTACCCGCACCTTCGGCGTGCTCTGAGCTGAGCTCTGCTTGACCACCGGCAGGATGGGCAGGTAGTGTACCAGCTCGTCCGGTTTTTTCGGTGCGGCTGGCTCCGCGTAACCGCACTTGAGGTAATTCTCCATTTCCCGATCGACAGCCGCTATGAGTTCGCTCTTATTCCGATTCTTGAAGAGGAATCTTTTGAGGCTCCCCCGCGCTATGTTTTCGTTATCGCCGAGAAACCGGATATTATCTTTGAATGGCAGGCTAACCATATACCGTCCGTTCTCCAATCTCTGGATATTATTTTCGAAAAATTCACGCAAATCCTCCTTCGCCGTGCTTTCCGAGGTCTCAGTGGGGCTCTCTATTCCCATATGTGCGCATTCAGCTGATCGTTGAACTCCCTCTGAGGATTGAATTCCGAACCGTTGGACTGGTGAGCGCGCTCTCTCTGTGCTGCTGATTGGGCGAACATGCTCACTATTCTTGACCCCGCAACCCGCGTGCCCGGCTGGCACAGGTTCGCCGCTACGAATACCTTCGAGGTCCGGTCGTGATTTTGCGATAGATCACTCCCCGCGACTACCAAGCCGAAGATCGTTTTGCTCGCGACTACTCGGTCATCTATGATCTGTTCTTCCCCGCACTTCACCTTCGCAAGAACGTCTACGCCTATGAGGATGTGATTTCGCGCCTTGCCACGTTCTCGCCCGCGTCCGCCATCGGTGAGAGGCTCCATGTCTCATTCGACACTGGGGAAGCCCCTTTCGCTATTTCTGGGATGCCGGTCGCGCGTAATCTGATCGCTGCTTTGTCATCGAATCGACTCTGCAATCCTATCTCGAAGGCATCGTATTTCCTATATTTCGATACCTTGCCCCCAATCGTGATCATCACTAAGCTTTCCTGCTGTACAGGCTTCAAATTAAGTGAGTGGATCACGTGGTCCGAAATATAGGATCGCTCCGACCCGGTATCTATAAAGAATCTAAATATTTTCCTGGCGGTTGGTGCATTCACCCATGCCAACCCCGTTTGGAATAGCGTGAGACCTAGCTCACTCGAAACAACCCGAGCCGCCGCGTTCTGAGTCGTGAATGACTCCGTACCTCTACCCGCGTTCTGACCCGGTTTCTGTTGATTGCACAGAATGCAACTGCACTTCTCGCACTTCACATAGGTTCTACATTTCTTAGCATAGTGGTTCCTTTTTGAGGCATTTGAAGCAAGCATTGCCTTTCTCACACAGGGTTTTCCGCTCTTCGTACGTAAGGTTCTTTTTGCACGCCTTTGATTCGTGCTTCGAACTAGCGCAGAATACGCAACTGTGATCTACTTCTTTATGAGCATTGCCTGCGAAGAAAGCACTGCTCCCTCCAGGCGCTCCGCTACTAGCGTGCCTAGGTGAACCTAATCTAGCTTGGTTCGTATAGCTGAAATCTCTACGAAACGGGGACGGTCCTGGGTTCATGCCGCTGCCCGTTGACCTGCATGCCCTCTTGATTGCTACCTGTTTTTCTAGATATTCTAGCAGGGTCTCTAATTCGCTGCTCGAACCGCTAGTGCTCTGTAAGCTCTCGAAATTCGTTCTCGTAAAGTCTCCTCTCATCGTGCTCGGAAGGCACGCTAGCACCCCTGGGGTGACTGTCACCGAAAGTGACTCGAAGTTTCTTTCTAAAGAAATCAGAGCCTTCACGTTTTGAGACAGCCATGAGACAAATCGGGCCAACTTATCGTCCCGGTGAAGGTCCCTCCATCTGTAGAGCTTCTGAATCTCCTGTACGTGTTCTCTTTCGGCCTCTCGTGGGCTCCCGAATCTCCGTTCGATTATCTGGACCGCTACCGGGTATTGTTCCGCCGTAAATTCTAGATGAGCTATCTCCGACGCCGGGAGACCCACTAGCGCTTCCTTCAACAGGGTGAATTTCTCGATCGGGCTGTACGACTTCTGATGAACGTGAGCGTCGAAGAGTTGCCACCACCCTCTGAATTTCTTGAAGTCGCCGCTGAATTTAGGTAAACGAAATTTTTTATTCAGGGCGAGACCTTGACCCCTTAGTGGCGTATCCGCTGGACGAAATATTGCATCGAAGGACTCCCTGATCCTGAAGAATTCCTCCTCGTAGGCGAATACTCTCTCCATTGTCTTCTCGTATATATCGGGAGACAGCCTCAAAATCAGGGGGGTCAGCGAAAGATTCATTCGTTTCATTTCGTCGTAGGTGTGTTCTATAATTTTCCATAACCTGTTGCATTCGGTGAAGCTGGATGTTTCATACCGTAAGACTTCGTCGAGCTCTTTCACCTTCATCGTGAATCTCGTGCGGAGGGTGCGCCTGATCCTAAGCTGGATGATCAATTCGTCGCGCTCGGCTGGTGATGCTCTGCTTGCGAGATCCCTCAGCGATTCTTCTGAATCGGCCAACTCAATTGGCGCTGCTCCTTCAATATCGTCTGGCATCGTATCGTTAGATTCCGACGGTACCCGACCGCGACGTTAGGCTCCGGATGTACCTGGCTTCTCGGACTATGGAAATCTTGGGCCAAATCGTCCGGAAAACGACGCCTTGCCTTGCTGAGGGTCGATTCGACTCACCGCTGAACGGACAATGACTGAAATGCTCCGTAGGCGCCGAAGTTCTCTGGTCACCGGTCGACCCCACGTGGCTTCCTCACGTTGCGAATTCAACTTCTGCGCGACCAAATCGATTGCCGCTAGAAGTGGGTCGCGGGATGATAGCTTGGAGCCACTCCCTGTCGCTTGTTTCTCGAGTTCTTGAGGGCCGCCTGTAGCGTGTTTCCGCCGCTTTCCGAAGTCGCTCGCCTACGCTGAACGGTCAGGAGTCTCGGTCTGGAACCACTTCTCAAACACTGGGCCTTTTTTCCGCTGCCACCATGTGGTGCCACTGTTTGGCTCTACGTGGGTTAAAGGACAAGACTGAATTTTCTGAGTTCTGGAAAACCTCGAAGGAACCGTCGTGGCCGCTTGAACTTGTAGCTGCTTCGTTGGACGGAGCCGCGTACCGACTGGCTGCACGACGCCTCGCCGCTGCCTACCTCTGGCCCGGCTCGACGTGCATGTCGCCTCCAAACATACATCAGGCCCCTCCGGCCCCCCTCGGGGCATTTGTTTCGACAACATATTATTCGTATCTCTGCTTATTATACGGTCATGCGAAGCTATGCGCGACACCCTCAATGTGGAGCTGGCTGAGGTGAACTTCAACGACCTAGGTGAGGGGTTCCTAGTTGATAGCGGAACGACCCATCACATGTGTTCAAGTCGTAAGTGATCGGTCGAGTATCAACCCTTCGAGTCTCATTGTGAAGTTCGGCTAGGCGGAGCCCGAGTGCTGAAAGTAGCGGAGCTCCGGAACTGCGCTGGTTACAGTCTCGTCAGAAAATCAGTAGTTCTAGAACTAAGGGAAATCCCTGCACGTTCCCAGCCTGCGTCGAAATCTCATATCAGTAGCTAAATTGGCAAACGATGGATGTGAAATTTTGGTCACCAAAGATTTCATCAGATTAGTGCGAGACAGTGTGAAAATGTACGCGGAAAGATGTAACAATCTATATGTTGTTCGAGCCACGGAAACGCCTGAAGCTAACGTCATGCCAGTGCTAGAGTTCAGAAGAAGCTCAGTCTCTCGGAGGCGCAAGACCTTTGCGCATATCAACGTTGATCAAGTTAGGACAACGCTGCAGCGAGAAGGACATGAAATCGAAAATGACTTTATAGTCTGCGAATCGTGTGCCCGCGGAGAGAGATGCCGAGAGCGGCTAACAGGCCTAGACCGATGAGCGACAGAGCTCCACGACCCGGCTATATTTTCTCCGACTTGTGCCGTTCGTAACAGGTCCTACGGTGATGCTTACTATTTCTTGACTCTAACAATAAGTGATGCCATGAGTCGATAGGAAAGTCTACTTTGTCCAGTCAAATGACCAAGTGCCAGATTGCATCTAGTCTTTTACTCGATGGTTCAAGGACCAGGCCGGTCACGATATCTATCAACTTAAGCAGGAGATGGCTCCACCCGACGAAAATTGTGCGGTTGTTTTGTAATGGCGAACGTCGCCAAATATCCGCCCGGGGTACGTCAACAAGGGGTCTTGATACGAGAATGAGGAGAGATATGCGTCTTCAGATCGCTCTAAGATTCTGTCGATCAACTCAGGTGCGGCGTAAATTTGGTCATCTCATTCTTCCTTCCGGCAATAGAGCAGAACCAGAAAAGGTTTTTTGCAAACTCTGTCTCGAACAGAAGGAGATGCTCTGCGGCTATGGTCAAAACACGGAACCCTTCTCAACCATATTGCCCGTCAGCATCCAAGTGTGACGGATACAGGGGAACGATCGAGCCTACTGCTGGAGTCCTGGAAGACGTCCGTCTCGAACAAGGAGGCGCCTGTGCCCGCTAAATCTGAGAGGGCAAAGATGCTCAATCTAGCCTGGATCTCGCCATCTCGATAAGCGAAGATTTACTCCCCTTTTTGTTCGGCGAAGGATCGGGGCTGCGTCGTTTCTTCTTGCGCAAAATACTCGTCACAGACGCTCCGGAGATTCCTGGCCGCATGACCATGTCGAAGGGAGCTCTGAATGACGATTCCTGCCATCTCAAAGAAATTGTCACCGACGTGATACCTAAAACCCTCGAGTTTCATGCTTCGACCCATACCTGGACCGACAGATACCGTCAACTTCCCTACATCACTGTCGTCGTCCTTTATTTGGACGAAAGTTTCAGATTAAAATGCATCCCTCTGAAAACAGATCATTTTGCCGGACCTCAGACTGGTCCCGCCATTCTGGATGAGGTGATCGCGACTTTGAAAGACTTCAAACTGAACGGAAGCTAATGAGGATATACCGTCATCTCATATTCAGGAAGACTCTCATAAATCGCATCGGCAGAGAAGAAGCGCAAGAAGTCTTCCTGCGGTAACTGATCAACGCGGACGAAGTGGAGCATGTAGGTTGTCTTTCTCCGCCGTTTTTTCGAGATAAGAAGTCCTCGATAGACTGTTAGTTTCATCAATGACTCATTTTTCTGCGCAGATGGGAAACGCAGATCCACGATTCGTAGATCAGAAAGTGGGTGAAGACCAGTGGCGTGCTTGCCCATGGTACCGCCCGGGGCGGTCAAGGAAAATTTTCATTTTTCGGACGCGATCAACCAAAACGCGGCCCCCTGTCCGAATATTTTTCGCGAGAAATTTCGGAATCACAAAAATACCCGTTTTTTGAATGTCGATTTCGAAAATGCCGCCCCCCGAAAGTGCCGCCCGGGGCGGACCGCCCCCCCTAGAGCACGCTACTGGTGAAGACTCATTGCGGGGGGATGACCCGAAAGAACTCAAAGCGGATGTCCCCACTAGATGGGCTTCTGTCTGCAAATCGTTTGAGTCAGCTGCTGCCACCTACGAGGTTCCCAATGAGGTCCTGAGGAGGATCGGATCCTACGAATTCCTTCTGAGCTGTGATGAGGCAGATGCGATTACAATAAAAGCTCGTTACTACGAACACGAAGGGACCGACGCCGACGGATCTGGTTCGTTGTACCGAGTTTTCGCTGTAAGGGATGCTGCTCAACACTATCCCCATGGCGAGCTCGCCAGAGGAGGAGAAATTCCTTGTTCGTTGTACCGAGAAATTCGTTGTAATGGGGGTCGTTATAACGAGCTTTTACTGTGCTATCATCGCGAAGCACTATAGAGTAAGTTGCATTTGTCGCTTGTCGCAAGTCGGAAAAAGCTCTGACGATATCACAGACTCCAATTACGATTTACGCAGCCTCATGCAGGCATTCTATTTGGAAAAACTAGTTCGCAGCTCCGCACCACTGCAGCCAGGGCATTATTTCAGGTAATTCTCGATCTCATGCTTCTCATTCAGTCATCAAAAAACCCTCCATCAACGAAGTTGTACTCGGCATCATTGACGTGGACGAGAGTCTCCAAAAATTGGGAGACAAGATCACTGCAGACTTGGAAGATGACGAAATCGAAATGCGACGAGACCTGGCGAGGCATGACAGCGAGAATGCGACCTTCCCACGACATGGAGTTTCTCGAAGCCGTGTTGAATCCCGAAATGAAAAATATCTCGAGAATCAAGGCAGAGATACCGGGTGGGAATGCTGCGGACTTTCTTTTGAAAGCTTTCTATGAGTATACGGATATGGCAGACGAACATGAGGATGACGTTTTGATCGTGCGTCAAAGTCCTCTCAAGAAGCAAGGATCTTCCCTAGTGACGAAGTACACCGCTTCTCACGCTCCCGCTGAGAGACTGGCCGATAAGGTCGCTCGCTAATTCGCCCTCCCGGTGAAATTGAACGAAACAGAATGCGGCGACGACAAAATTCTGCAAAGGTGACAGAAGAACGTCACAGTACATATTTCCTGATTCCTAAGGTGTCGGAGCTCGCGTGAATCGTCTTGTCAATTCCAGGCACATCGGCCGAGGCCGAAAGAAGATTCTCATCCACAGGGAACGTTATTAGAGAGAAACGCTGCTCGATGGATCCGTCGAATATATTGAAACTCTATTCATTCATGAGAACAGGGAGTCTTTCGAGTTGACCTAACCTCATAATGAAAGAAGCAAGCTTTGTTCTCAAGTACTGGAGCTTACTCTCTTATTCTGAATCTCTCATACTCCGAGCTTGAATCTCGGGGCGGAGAATGCAAAAACCCTTTCCGCGGCGCGCCGTTGGTCTACCGCACCGCCGAAAATCGCCACGGCGTCCGCCGCCGCCGCCTGTTTTTTCGCCCGTCGCTGCCGCCGCCGGAAATTCTACGGCGCACAGCTCTGCCCACGACGGACAGCCCGGCACGGATAAAGGATTGCTATCGGGGGTTAGCGTTGATAGCGGAATCGGGTTTCCGGCCCAATTCGGGAGGGAGTGTCACGAACCTATGTTCGGTGGGACTAGGTATCAGGGGATCGACTCAGTGTAAGTATAGGGTGCCCACACAGCGGGGCTTTCCAGGGGCCCTCCAGGGGAAGGAGGCCGTCGTCAACACGGCGGCCTCGGGCCGCCAGTAGATTCAGTGATCGTGATCACTGATCAGTGACAGTTTGAGGAGTCGATTCACGATCGGCTCTCTCAAACTCTGAATTGCTCAATGAAAGTTATCCCCCGATGTCCACCCTTAAACGAAGCATAACAGAGATTGTTTTCCATCTGGTCTTCAGTGGCGGGTCGTCAACAAGGGATGCCAGAGCTTAAAAAGGGTCAACAGACTTGAAGTGCATTCAGTTTCTGTGGAGGAAAACGGAAGACCACATGCGCAGATGAGGGAGTC